TCCCTGGCTGCCGCCTCCGGGAAACAGGTGAGAGCCCCGAAGACGGGGTGGACACCCCGGGCAACCCTCGGGCAACCCTCGGGCACCCCGACGGCCCTGCTGCAGACCCTCACTTCTCCGCTGCAGACCCCTGCTTCTCCTCCAGACACCTTCCTCTGATTCCCTGTTGCAGACCCTCCGTTTCCCCAGCAGAGCCCCTGGCACCCCCGTTGCATACCCCCAGCTTCCCTGCTGCAGACCCCTCCAGTTCCACACTGGACACCCCAGTACCCTCAGCGCAGACCTCCAGTTCCTCACTGGACCTCCCCAATGTCCCTGTTTTGGACCCCAGTTGCTTGCTGCAGACCCCGGTTCCCAGACAGATCTCCCTGGTTCCCTGACAGATCCTCCAGTTCCCTGCCAGGACTGATCCAGTGACAGCCTGGGCAGCTGGGAGTGGGAAGGGGATACATCTCCCCCACAGTCCAGCCTAGCTGGGTGCTGGTGGAGGACGAGGAGTAGCTGCTGCCAGGGCAGAGGGCAGAACCCCTGGTGAAGCCCTCCAGGGCTCCTCCAGGGAACTGACCCAGCAGGAGGATGCCCTTATCCATACAAGGAGCCAGGGCTTGGAGGGACAAGAGGAAATATAACCCCCAGTGAGAGAGTGACCCAACTCAGCCTCCTCTGTGAGCTCCCCCAAAGACCTTTCCGTTGTCACTTTAGCAGTAGCCTCGCAGCATCCTCGCTGAGTTCAGCATAGCGTGCTGGAGAAGTGGGAAGGGAAGAGGAGGTGATGTGGTGCTTGGATGAGTTCATTCCCTGCCATGGCCAGGACAGCAGTCCCTTCCCCACACCGGGTAGATTTCAGCACTCTTCTGCTCTCCTTTATTCCACAGCCGCAGTGGCTGCGTAGCAGCTGTTGGAGCTGGGCTCTTTGGAAAGCGAGGGCTCCCCTTCTCCTCCAGTGTCCTGTATGTCTCTAATCTGCACACAGAGGTGTCTTAGAGAGACAGAGTGATGAGCCCCCAAAAGCCAAGAGGTAATTGTGGTCTCTCTCTCTTTCTCTCTCTTCTCCCCCAAGGAACTGGCCAAGTACTTTTTGGCAGAACTGCTCTCAGAGCCAAGCCAGACAGAAAATGAAGCCCTGGAGTCTGAGGACTTGTCCCGAGGGGCTGAGCAGGATGAAGTGAGACTGGAGCTGGAGCGCTCGGCTAACTCAAACCCAGCTCTGGCACCCCGGGAACGCAAAGCAGGCTGCAAGAACTTCTTCTGGAAAACTTTCACATCCTGTTAGCTTTCAAATCCCACCTCTCCTCCCCATCCATCCCTGCCTTCTTCCTAGCCCCCCGCCCTGAGCAGAACCTTCACCACAAGAGGCGAAGACTGTAAATACACAATCCACGGTTATGGTGAAATTAAAAAACAAGGAAAATTTGAGTTTGATTTCCAATCGTTTTAATAAAACTTTCTGTTCCAATTGTACATGATTTGCTTGAGTTGTGATTTCTGACTAGTTCTTTAATGACATGCACTCTGCAGCTCTTTCAGATGTACTATTTTTAATTCTTTGTTGCAATAAAGTTTATGTTTCAAATGGTGATGCTGAGACTTGGTGGTCAATAAGAAATCCTAAGTCACCTCTCAGGTTGTTTGCCTTTGAAATGTCACCCATCCATATCGGGAAGCAGCAGCAGCAAACAGCATCCACACGCATGCATATGCACAAACACACAATAGCTCTTAAAGTGATTTTTTTTTTTTTTTTTGCTGTGGTCTGACTAAGGGTCTTAGAGAAACAGTGGTATTTTAGACATCAAATCTCTGTAATTACAGCTGAGGCAATTCCACAGCACTGGCACTTCAGTCAGCGTAGAGCATTTACTCCCATCACCAGAGGCCTCAGGATAAATCACAGCTGTGTGTTCCCAAGAGATGGGGATCATAAAAGCAGTTCCCACTACAAGTTTACCCCGCACATACCTCATGCCCTTCTCAGCCAGAAATACTAAAAGGTTTTCTTACCTGGTGTCTTTTACTCCTTGCAACATCCCCAACAAACACTGATTTTGGGGTTCATTTGGAAAGTTTTCCTTTGTTATGCCGGGCAGGGAGAAGTTTCACATCCCTGCAAAGCCGAGCCGTTAACCTCATGTTGTCCACTTCATCTAATAAGCTGGTTACTGTTTATCATCATCACTAAGTCATCATTAAAGGCAATATTTAAAGGTTCTGCAGGGTAGGAGATAGCATCGGGGAAAAGATATGCTTTTCTCAACAGAAGAGAAATTCATTGTGCTTTTCCAGAGTCTCTTCCCTTTCTGACTGTGCTGGTTTGTGCCATGCAATTGTGGGTGAGTTGGAGCTGTAGAGCATGTGTCCAGCACAGGGGACAGCTATCACTTTGGTGAGAAATTGGTCATTCAGGATTGAAGGTAACAAGCATTTTGTAGCCATCATACACGAAGGAAAGATGAAAAATCGGGGATCTTAGGGATGGGTGGAGGGCTGAGCGAGATCCTGGTGCAGGTGGATTCCCCAGCTGAGGGCATGTTAAGTCACTTCCAGTCTGTGCTGAGTGTAGCTCTCTGTGGGGCATCATTCTTGATGGCACGTGGGCCACTGCCTTAATTCTTGGTCTGCGCCTCCTTCCTCTGTGGGCAGGGATTCGAGCTTGGGGCGGTGAATCCCTTGTATTGGGAACTACAGCAGTATCGATGTGACATCCTAGCCCTGCCATGCTCACTCACCGCAGGGCTCAGCCCGGCTGCTCCACAGCCGACTGGCAACAGGGCATGTGAGCAGAGTGGGGAGCTGGGAACATCAGCCCCCCTGAGCCCAGAGGCAGGACTGGATGCTGCTCTCACTCCCTGGGGCTCGGCAGCCGTGGCTGTTGCCTGGACAGGGTGAAGGGCTGCCTGCTCCCTGCCTGGCTGCTGTCAGAGAAGCTGGATCCTGCAACCGGGAAAACTTCACTGTGGAATGATCCTGTGTCTCCCCAGACCCTGGGAGCCTCCTCTCGTGTAAGAGGGATGGGTTTTGGCAGGTGGCCTAGGGAAACGCATGGTCCTCAGTCCCCACATGCAGAGTGGTGGGATTAAGGGATGTGCCCCCTTTACTGGGGCTGATCCGCCCAGTACTTCGGGAAGACTTCAGGGGGGCACCCCCTGGGTTTCTGTGGCTGTCACAGATGCCGAGGGTGTAGGATTAACTCACGCTTGGGAGAGGGGCAGGACTGGCAGTGCTAAGGGTAAGCCTTCAAAAAGACATTTGAGGAGCCTAGGTAATGTAGATCATTTCTCAGCCCTAAATCAGACAGAGTGAGAATAGGATCCTGGCTGAAAGTGTGGAGACAGGCTTTCTGAGTATGGAACAATGGTCCTAGCTCACATCTGATTCCTCTGCTGCTGTGCATCACTGAGGTAGAAGATTTTAGGAGATTCAGTAAAGCAGAGACCTCCCCACCCCTGTCTGTTTGCTCCTGTCTTGACTTAGGTTCCACTTTACTTTCAAAAAGCAGCTAATTCTTCAGTGCTGAGACAGCCTCAGGACAGCAGCTACAGGAACAGAAAGGGGTGTGGAGGTGCCAGGGGCTTGAATATTCTCATGCATCAAGTCCATCTTTCATGGGATATAAATAGACAACTTGCCTGAGGTTTTTCCTCTTGGTCACCTTGCTCAGTCAGTATTTGTGAAGGGAGTTTAATCCTGACAATTGCCGGAGTGAAACTCATCACAAATAGGGCTATGGATGATCCTCAAGCACAAGCAGGAATTAAAGACAGGGTGATTCACAGGCTACACCAGCCTATTTCAGCAATACAGCTGGCGTCGTGTCATGGCAGTTTCTGCGAAGCTTAATGAAGATATACTGGTGAAGACATGTGCGAATGTCCTCAGTTCAGAAACAGAAAGACAAACCTCCTTCTTCCACCAACTGAGGAACTCTTGGAGTCTGGGGAGATAGCTCCCAAGGCATTCACTACGTTTTCACCACACATTATTGCCCTGTGGCTACACCAGCAATCCTAGGTGCTGGGAGCCATGCAAACACAACACAAGAGATGGTCTTGCCCTGATGAAATAAAAAGACTAGAAAGACAAAGAAAGATTTATTGTTTCTTCTTGATAGGTGAGAATTATGAGGTAAAGAGATTAAATGGCTATATTTAATCCCTGGCCACACAGCCATGAAAGAGGGGCCTGGACTGGGAAGACTCTTGCTGGGTAAGGCTGAATCTGGGATGAGGATGCAGGTACCATCAGTACTCACAGGTCAGACAGAGCTGCCAAACGGGAGAGCAGTTTTTGTGAGAGGCTTTCAAGTGATGTTCTCTGTAGCTCAAAGCTGAGGCTCCATGGAAGAGCAGCTTCAGCACAGAGCTGGGGGAGGTTAGAGGTTGTGATCATCCACACACGGCTGATTCATCTCCCCTCTTGCACTCGGTGTCACAGGCAGACCCAGAGCAATGCCTATTCCAGCAGGTACCTTCAACCCAGTGATTCATCTGAGGCAGCACAGGGAAATGTCCATGAGGAACCACATAAAAAGGCTTGAAACTGCCGTCTGAAGAGCTGCTCTTAATGAAAACCAGAAGTTGTTGTATAAGGCCTGGCAACTCACATCCCCCAATGGAAAGTCAGTGATGAGCTTCTCAGCCATCCCCAGCAGCAAACTCTCCGACTAACGATGCCAGAGGGGGTCATTTGCTCTAGCACACAGGCCAGGAGTTTTTTTAAGTGCAGCCCAAATTCGTAAAAAAGGCAAGTGTTCCTTGGTGCAGAAGACTTGCTGGTGACAGATAGCGTGAAGTGATCCTAGCTGTGGTGCAGAGGAAATACTAGTAGCATCCAGATTTCATAGCCTGGGTCCACTCTGGCACCAGCTAACTCCTTTTGGCTCTGCAGAGAAGACCAAGACCCTGGACCCATGGGCATAACTGCCTTTTACTCAGAACAGCCTGTAAGTTGCTGTTTGCTGCCTTTGCCTTTACTCTGCCTCTGCGGCTCCAGGCAAGCTTTACACCATCGCCCTGATCCTCAGTCACCAGGAGCATCCTGGACTCCCAGACCTCTGGTCTCACCCGGGAATCTTCTTCCCTTTCATCCTGCCCAATCGCAGCACCTCCAGGGAGCACCAGAGCAAACTCCAGTCCCTGTGTGGGTCAGCACCCAGCACTGGAAAAGAAGCACTCACTGCTACAACCAAGTCCTAATTCTCTGAAAGCAAAGCAGCAGGATGTTTATTGGCCAGGGTGAGAAAAGGTATACCTAGGCAATAGAAGTTATTATGATAAAGGAACAGACTGTACTCTCTGCTCTCTGAACACCTTCTGACTCTTTCACCACAATAATGCATTAAAGCTCACTAACACTAAGCATTTTCTTCTCCTTTGTCTCTGTTTTATTAGAGAATTACTTGCTACTTTTTGTCAACACCTAATTGCACTTCTGAGAATAGCTGTTTGTCCAAGTGCTGTGAGTACTTCATAAGACTTTTTGGATCCCAGTCTTAGGAGACTTACCCCATAAACAACTTGTAGAACACCAAAGAAATTAACAAGGCCACCAAAAAATCACCAAGTTCAGTTTTTCTTATATGTATACTAGAAATGCCAATTTGTGCCATGAACTAATATTTCGAACACCATCTGGCAAAGAAACCCAGCTGGTCATTCAATTAACAAGATGAATTTAATTGAAGTCTCCAGGGTTTCCTACAGAGAGATTCCCTGAGTAAGCATAAAGTGATACATCAAAATTCAGGCTTTGCTCATCACCTGGGTTGCCTGCTGGACCAGAACGGGAGGGACTTGGTCCTGCACACAACACCAGAGCATCCCTCCCGATACTATCCCCTGCCTGCCTCTGCTCCATGCTGCTGGCCGCTGCTGAGAGCAGCCTGATGGTATGGGGGGAAGAAAAGCTCCCGGCGCCCAGCCCTGGCAAAGTGTTCTCAGGAGGTGAGCCAAGAGGTGCTCCCGGGCCCTCCCTTGCTTGTCCCGCAGCCCTCATTAGGAGATTCCCACTGGCACAGAGCAGGAGTCAGTGAATTCCTCCGGCCCAGCAATAAGCCTGGGGCTGCTGTGCTCCCTTACATAGCTCCATGTGCTGCCTTCAAGGAAAATTTCTACAGCAAAAAATTATCCTCAGGACTGAGATTTAAGGAAGAAAAAGGATCCCCCTGGAAATTGGCTGTCACATTTGCAAGGCTATTTTATAAATCCTTGCTGACACTTCTTTTCTTCACCATTTTACTTGTGGTGTCAGCATTTGTGATTCTTCACAGAGACTCATATACAATATTTCTTTCCCTGCACTTCTGCTCCTCGCTCTAGCCTGTTCCACAAAGGGTGTAATGTGGGGGGGACATGGCTGAGCACAAGCCCTGGAATGGGGTGCCCTGCAGCCAGCAGAGAGAGCCAAAGAGCACGGATTGTCCTTTCAATGGTCTGTCTCTCTAAGAGCAGAGGCTTAGAACAGGTGTCCTCTGTGCTAGCAGCTGTCCAAGCTCTGGTTATGACCTCGCCACAGGAAGATGGGCTGGAGACAGGGGTTCTGTAGGGGGACTTTCCATGAAACAGCACTTTCAGGGGCCAGAGC